TCCGATGGTTGAATTTTAGGTCTTAGACTATGCAGAACTATTTATAGGGAAAACATTTTTTTGATAAAACTAATAATAAAAAAGCTTTCCATATGTAGCCAACTTTATATATGTGTGTGTAAATGACACTATTATTATAAAACACACACCTATATAAGGTAAGCCAAAATGCTGGTTCAGTGAGTGTCGCTAATTTACAATATACCCTGTATAACGTAATGTGTTCTAAATTAGTACAGCACAACATCAACAATAATATACAGTGTGAACCGATATTTCAGAAACTAGATGTAGGATAAATTTGAAAAATTGGGAACTTGCTATATGTTTTGTATATCGCACTATGAGTACCACTGAAGACCACTATAACTCAAAATTTATTGATTTTGAGATTTGTGCGGTATTATAGTGTTCTGGATGCTAACTTTGATAATACAATACCAACATATCTCTAAATCGAAATAATGTCCTATAAATAACAGAAGTGTCACTATTGAATTTTTCCTAAAAATACTTTTCCTAATACAACATCAACATAACTAAAAATATTGTTGTTCCTTTTTGAACTTTTGCAATGCAGAAATACAATATCAACATATTTAGTTTTAAAGTATTGTAAGTAACTAAACTAGCCACCTCTTTAAATGAAGACTACCATAAGTCAAAATATGTTTTACATTCTTCTATTCTTAAATAATCTTGTAGGATAGATATTCTTTACTGCAAGACAAACCTAAGTCAAAATTTTGCAGAAACCCGTTACAGTTATTTTGCGCGTACGCGTTTTGTTGATTGCAAGAGTTAAAATTTTAAGTTACGATAAGCAATTTAAAATTTCAAATAAGCAAAGAGAAAATTGTTCGAGAGAGCCCGAGAGAACTCGAGAGAAACGCGAAATTCTCGTCGAGATATGACACTCTTTCGTCTCATCTCGAATTTTCGAGAGAAAATGTCTCTCGTCTCGTTCGAGACGAAAAAAGACGAGACGAGAATCTCTCGTCTCGCGGCATCACTAATTTTTTTGTTTGTTTCGAGGACTTAAATAATAATAATAATAATAATAATAATAATAATAATAATAATACCTAAATTATATTCTCGGCCATTATGCAAAACAATTAATTTAAAATACATTTTTGTGCATTGGTTGAAAAAATAATACTCTAAAGATAACAGGTGCTAAATATTTTTATTGCACTAAATGTCGGTTTTTTAAAATGTTTAATCCCTAGTAAATCTGATGAACGTTTAGAGACATTCTATGTAATGTCACATTTCAAGTGTCTGATTGGCCAGCTTTGTTAAAAAGTTTCAAGAAACCCCACAGCCTTATTTGGCAAATATTCCACAATAGCACGAATAAAGTTAGTGCAATAACAACATAACTCCATTTTCTGACAATTTCTTACAATTTGTCAATACAATTTTGCTTAATAACTAAAGAGAAGGTCATAAATGAGGGTTTAAAGAATCATAAAATCCAAATAAATAAAAATTTAATAGATAGCAATTAAAAAACTGTAAAACAAAAAATCTGAAAACTTCAAACGCCATTTTCTCAGTTGATTGTTTTTTGTGTTATGGTGGTCTTTTACTCATAGTGCGATATGTTCAAATAAAAGGTATAAAATGAAATTCAGAAAAATTCCAAAAATTAATTTAGGTAGGTATAGAATATAATACATAAACATAAAATCTTCCTAGAATGTAATAATATATAGGGTGTCGTATTTAAAATAAGTATTTAAAATAAGTAACTTCTGGTATAACCGAAAGTGCCCAATAGATGAAAATATTTTGGCTAAATAATACCCCAAGATATTTAGCAAGTTCTCAAATTTTAAAAATTTTCGTACGTCCAGTTTCTCATACAGTATGTCGCTAATGTATGGAATAAATTCATTATTTCTAAAATAATCGACTTTTGAAAAAAATCCAAAAACAGATCAATTTTAATTTTTGAATCGTCATCACATGATGTAGATGTAACGAACATTACGTCACCAGTATTACCGTGGTGACGTAATCGGCAATTTTTTTAAATGCAACCATGTGTCTCAAAACACCTCATTGGAAAGGTCTTCTAATCGTCTTTACAACGATGTAATTATTTGAATATTTATTTCTACAGGGTCGACAAAAACTGGGTGTTTTGAGACACATGGTTGCATTTAAAAAAATTGCCGATTACGTCACCACAGTAATATTGGTGACGTAATGTTCGTTACATCTACATCATGTGATGACGATTCAAAAATTAAAATTGACCTGTTTTTGGATTTTTTCAAAAGTCGATTATTTTAGAAATAATGAATTTATTCCATACATTAGCGACATACTGTATATAGAACGATGCAGTTCCGTTTATTTCGGAAATCACATAAGTGGAAAGTATGACTATTTTTTCTTGTATGATATCAATTTTATTGCTGCCATCTGCTAATTTTTTTGTAAGTTAACTTAGTATTATTAAGAATTTGTAAATTCTCTAAGTTACGAACTAAAATTCGTAAAACTTCTTGAAACAATGACCTAATACCTAACTCACAAAATTTATAATAATTATTGCTTGAAATTAATATTGGTAATTTTTTAAAAAAGTCAATTATAAATATTTCTACTTTAATTATATACTTACTCTACCTGTATATGATATTTAAAGTATACATTTTTACTTTCCTATCTGTATACAGATATAAGGAAAGTATAGGAATCATGATTTTTTTCGACCTCGAGTTTTCGACGGATTTTTACGTTTTGAGGTCCCCTGAATCCGTTTTGACTATTTTCGCGATGATGTCTGTGTGTGTGTGTGTGTGTGTCTGTAGGTCGCATAACTCATGAACCGATACACAGAAAAACACCAAATTTTAAACTTAAGCTTTATTCCAGCGTCTTATGAACTGATTAGATTTTGGGCAGAGTTGGAACATCTGGGGGGGTACTTTATAGGTGGTAATTTTTATATTTTATGGAATATATCTGTTATTTACGTTTGGAGAAGAAAATTCTTTAAATAAAAGTTACTTCTAATATAATTATCTATAATTTTTGTTTTAAGTATACATAATTTTCCTTAAATGGTCCGTATTCGAGAAATTTGACAAAATGTAAAAAAAATAATTTTTTATAAAAATTTTTCAAATAAAAGTTGTTTGTAATATAATTCTCTATAATTTTTATTCCATACATAATTTCTCTTAAATGGACCGTATTCGAGATATTTGAGAAAATGTGTAAATTTTGAAATTTGAAGAAAACTCAAAAACGGATAAAGAAAAAAACATTAAATTTTAAACTTAAGGTTTATTTCGGCCTGACGTGAAATGATTAGATTTTGGACAAAGTCGAAACATCTGGGGGGGGGGGGGGACTTTATGGGAGGCCGTTTTTATATTTTATGGAATATATCTGTTATTTATGTTTGGAGAAGAAAATTGTTCAAATAAAAGTTACTTCTAATATTATTATCTATATTCGAGAAATTTGACAAAATGTGCACAATTCTGATTTTTATGAAAATGGTTGAACTAAAAGTTGTTTGCGATATCGATCTCTATAATTTTTGTTTATACATGATTTTTCTAAAATGGACCGTAATGAAAGAGTGCTAAATTTAAATTTTTCAGTATTTTCGTTTTCAATGAATATCTATAGAAAAATGTTTCGAGTTATATGTATGTGGAAAATGTATATATTTAGTTTATCCTCTAAACATTTATAGAGGTGCTGCAATAGGTTGTACAAAATAATCAGAAAAAGCCTATATTAACTAGATAGGAAAGTCATGTGTTGGACACATCAGATTTTTATGGATGTGATGTTGTACTTGTTCAGGATACATTACGATATACACGGTACATTGTAAAATAGCGATACGCATTGAAATAACTTTTTGGCTCATCCCGTATATGTGAATTTTTTAAAATAATAAAGTGTATAATCATATACAAATAATCCATTTATAATAATTATTATAGGCGTTAAATGATTTTTTAAATATGCAGTTTTTCTACTTTATTTTACAAAATGACCCTATATATGACCCTATATAGTTGTTTTTCAAAAAGGATGGTATCTTAGAGAGTCAACAAGTAACTTTTGATATTTATGAATATCAGCAAAATATCAACGTTTTTTTTTTTGAAAATTATGAGAATTCACAAGTACGACACTCTGTATCTCAAAAACTAGTCACAGGAGAACTTTGGGCCCATAGACACTATTAATTAGGAGGTCTGCAACATACACTATTTTCAGCAGATTCGACCGAAATTTATTTGTCACAAGGAAGATGCGGGGTCTTTTATATTTTTATAAAGAGTGATTCACAAAAAAAAATATTTCTAAGGCAGGCCATGACCAACAAAGACAGAAATACAAGTCATGCCCGAACGACTTTGAATTAAATTCAAACAAATATAAAGAGAAGAAGAATTAAACGCTCCGACATACGCGAATTTTTCCAAAGCCTACTACTGTTGAAATATATTTTGAAGATTGCTATTCTTATATACGAGTAAATATGACTACTTTTGTAAACTTTTATATATGTGCTCTGGCAGGTAATAAAACGAGTGGTAAACCAATAAGGTCAAAACGTACCCTTATTTCGGAAGTCCCCAAAAATTCGTATGATTTCGGCGAAATCGCCCTATGTGATTTCGAAATCAATCATCATGTATAATTCTTAATGATTGATTATAAATTTTCTTTTTGATTATTTAAAGGACCTTTTTTTGCTTTTCTTATTTTTTTTTGTTCACCAGCTTCTGCGTTTATATTTCGACGGAGGGAAAAATTGATTTCAAAGTGATTTCGTTGATGATTTCTGCCATGATTTTCGGTGACGATTTTGGGATTTCGGATAACTCAAGAGAATATGTAGCAATTTCGGTGATTTCCAGTGAAAACATACCAGTATTTCGAGATTGGTTCACCCCTTGTAATAGAATTATTATTGTTATTAATATATTGTAAAAAAGATGCGTGGTACTTACAGCTTTATTCCACCTGACTTTCGGTTCCGGCAGTCCTTGATAAGTGGCCTTGAGCAGCACTCTATCACCCACGAGGGCCGTAGTGTCCTGGGGTCCCCTCAGGAGCTTCGGCGCCGTCTCTTCTGGTTGCACCGCCTCCTCCATGGAGGCTCCACTGTCACTACAACTACCGCCGTTGGTCGAGATGCTGACTTCGTCGTCTAGGTCGAGATCGAAAATCGCGAGAGACGTGGTGCAGCGCGCTATCGAAACTGCTGTCGACGAGGAACTAGAATTGCCTGGGCTCGCGCTTTGGAGTACCAGCGAACACTCGATGGGGCCGACGTCTGTCCTCGTCACCCCCACGATGCGAAGAACGTTCGCGTCACCGTCTTCCTCTACCTGGAAGGGGAGGAAATCGAGTTAAAAACACTCTGGACCTAATTTGGGGATATGAATGTCTTCAGAGGAATTAATATTTTTAAGACTATGCAAAATACGTAAATGCATGTGAGACAAGCATATTAAAAATTTGTAAAATCCAAGAGGAAAAATTCTGATACTATTTTGTTTATTAATGGTAACGACAATTTAATCAAGAGACTTACAACATTTTCTAAAACTAGTTTTTATCATGTTTTAACACTGCCAATAATTCTAAAATATCTTCACACGAATGGTTAGCTATATCTCAAGAAATAAATATAATATCAGAAAATGCTTAAAATTGTTTCTAGTATACGAAGAAAGAACTTAAATGACAAGTTAGATTACTTACCCCCATCAACCCCCTATATACTACCTACTTCAGCAAAACACCCTACTTGTCATACATCATTAGAAAGCTAGTACATTTTTTAAAAATATTTTCAGTCCAGGAGTATAAAATAAATGATTTTTATTAGGTATTTTTTGATATCTTCAGTTCATGAGATATAAAATTGTCACCCCGTATTAACAACTATCACATAATTGGATATAGAATTATAAAGAAAAAATCCAAAATTTAACTAATAAATCAACAGACTTCGATAATATTTCTAATAATTTGTCAAAAAAGTCGGGAGACCTCAAATTTTTGGTTGCCACCTTATCGAAACTGAAGCCCTCTCGGACAAAGTTATCATAAAAGAAACGAGAAACGATTTGATTTTAAAAGAAATACCGAAAGACGATTGTAACATTTTGGCGTTACTTATGCTGGACCCATTTCTCCTTAAGCCTGTCCACGTAAAATATTTAGACACTTTTACCTTGCCCATGTAAAAATATTTATTCAGCTTGGACATTGAAAATATTTCTCTCTATATGCGTGTCCATATTTGGCCCTAAGGATGTCCATTTAAAAATAGTTTGTCTTTTTAAGCCTAACGTTTGCCTATGTAATAATATTTAGGCTATTTATACCTTAAGCCTGTCCATGGAAAAACATTTGGAGCCTTTATCCTTTAAGCTTATCCATTTCCAAATATTTGCACCCTTTAATCCTTAAGCCCATGTAAAAATATTTGGCCTTCTACCCCTTAAGCCCGCCCGTGTAAAAATATTTAAGATATTTTCGCTTAAAACTGCTCACGTAAAAAATGTTTGGACCCTTTACCTTTCTTATTCTAATATTAAATTCATAAACAAGTTCCGCTCTGTATATTCTTCGAGTAAGATTCACATTTACTTAGTATCTTAAAACTGTTAAGTTTATTGCCGCATCAAGTTATAAACTCTGCAAGCATGCTCAGTCAATTTTGGTCCTATTTTTTAATTGCGCATGCTTGGTAAGTTTGAAACAACATTTATCACTATCACTCAAATGACATCTTTTATTGGACATTTAAAAATGTTTAAATAATTTATTTGACATTTAAGAGTGACAGCATTATAGAAAAAAAAAATCTGTGATATCATAGTTTAAAAGCATGATCATGCATATAGAGAAATCAGAAACCTTGCTTCCATAAGAAATGCATTGCATTTTAAAATAATTTATATTTAATGCACTAAAGTTAATCCGAAATTTTTTAAAATCAATATTGTTCTCAGTCATAGTGGTCGATAAAATCAAAGCCATTTTTACTCAGTATATTTTTCTGTTTTTGATAAGGGAGAGACAGGTTTTTTTTAGTATATCAATACTTTTCATAATTAAATGAAACAGCCACCAAATCTACTGTGGTTACGAGTGTCCCTATTACAGATCCTAATTCCTAAGTGAGAAAAGAGTCAGAAGATCTGGGCAACAGTTTAAATAACAAAATAATTTCTATAAATAATCTGCTGTTTTCTAATGTTAATAAGTTAAGTGAATTCAAAACTTCTTTATAACTGTATTTGCCAACCTGTAAATGCATTTTATAAGCAACAAATCTTAACAATTTGTGTTGTATTCTTTCAGTTATTGAGATAATATAATAGAGTATCCAAGCTGTAGAAACATATTAAAGTACCGAACATACCAGTGTATTATGAACCACCGAAAGTGCGTTAAAGGTTTCCACAGACTAGTATACATGTGCATTCAGTTGCGCATCCACAGTTTAAGTCTGGGGGTGGTAATAATCAAGACTTTATTTTTGATAGTATTACATTTTTAGTATCTATAAAAAGTTAGGTTGGGTTAGGTAATAATCTTCCCCCCGTATATGCGCCGTGCGCCCATCTGCATTTTTTGTTTGCCATACACACTTGACGTACATGAATGACAATACAGATCTAAACACTAGTTTGCCACACAAGTTAGTTTGGAAGTGTCCTATAAACAGTGAAGTCGATTATATTCTATTAACAACGCATTAATAAAAAAAATAATTTAGTTAAAAAAACTTTAAATTAGACAAAATGAGCGAAAAAATGGATTTTAAAGCGCTTATGTTAATTTTCTAGAAAAGTACGCTTCAATTTTACGTATTGTTTAAATAAAACATTATAATCTGCATCTTTTTTATTATGGTCTTTTTATTCTTTTGGTTTTGTATAAACAAGTATAACTTTTATAAAATTCAATGAAATAAAGTTTTTTGAAAAGTGTCTTATATCCAATATTGTGAAATCGACATAAAACAAAATGTATATACGCAAGACACTGTACTCAAAATGTATGCGAACAAAGAGTGATACTTGGCCACACGCCGACAATCCTGTATGCACGTTCAATTTTGTACGTTGATGAATTTCGGCCAAACCAAAAAACTTGCGCGACGCACATTCTTGCGTTTTTTTCACCACGCACTGGCAAACATCAACGTATCAATTGCAATAGTCCCTTTCAAAGTACTAAAATGTCACTTTCCAGTTTATAACAGTTCTCAAGAGTAGTAATTCATTTTCAAGTCATCAGCGAACATTAAAACGAAACTATGTCATGAGCAAAGAGGTTGAAAAACAGTGGCCACCAATTTTATCCCTGCGGAACTCCATTACTGGATTTGAAATATGATTTTTAATTTTCACAAGTTGTGTTAGTAACACCCTCAATAATTTAAACTTATACTTTCTCAGATATTTTCTAAGGATTAAAAATTGCATTTAACAGTTTTTTAAATGTAATTAAATCAATTTTTTAAAATAAAGAACCAAGGTAATTGCATTGTAGAAAGTATTAAAAATCAATTAGTTACAAGTTACTGTTGATGATAAAATTATGGTAATTAACGTTATTGAAAGACAACAGATGAAATTACTTCTAAACCAAATTACTTTAAGAATACTGTTCAATATAAAAAGAAGTTTAAACTCGAAGCCCAAAGAATGGCAACGCATAGTATTTTATTTGTTAACGTTTTTTTTACAGTTTTCTAGAAGATCATCAAAAATTTTATCTTCAAATTGAATTATCAATAAAAAATTTGAATAAAAGTATCTGCATATTTCTGGGCTCACTAATTAGATACAAAGTGCATAAATATACGAACAAACATGTTTTTCCCAATATAGAAAAGCGCAAGTGATAATAGTTATGATAAAAAAGCTAAGTTATCGAGAAGAAATTCAAAGAGTAATTGTTTTATTTACTTATTACTAATTGATATTTTCCCACTTCATGATTAAGTAATTTATTATTAAGCCACACATTTTAGCATTTTTTTATATACACTGCCGAGCATAAAATTAGGGTCACCATTTATTTTAGAAATTTTTAGTTGTTTCGGATTTTTTTACTCGTAACATAGTTTACTAACCTTATTCGATGATTTTGTCGTGATTGCTTGAATAAAAAAAAGTTTCTGTCATTTTCTTCAAAGTTTATTGAAAATAATGAAAATTAAAGATATAATTTGATATGCTTTTAATTCAAACTTTAAGGAATTCAGTAGGGAGTATTCCCTCCTCTGTCAGTGATAACAGCTAGAAAACGATGAGGCATGTTTTGAATCAGATTTTGGATCACATTCCGCGGAAGATTGTCCCATTCCTGCACGAGTATGTCGCGAAGCTCCCTAGAATTTCTGGGAGCCGGCACATTACTCCGTAAACGTCTCCCCATCTCATAGCAAACATGTTTGATCGGATTTTGAGCAGGCCAAACAAAACGAATGATTTGAATCTCGTCAAGATAAGCAGTAACTATCCATAACTATGCATAAAGATTGCGTCTTCTCCAAGAATAACCATGAACGCTACTACGTGGTTTTTAGAAACTCGGTCAAGTATCTATTCGCAGTAAAAGTCTCATTCTGGATAAACACTAACTCCGTGCCAGCTTTAAAAGATATGCCTCCCTATGTCATGACTGAGCCTCCACCAAATGGAAGTCGTTTGACAATACACGTTTGAGCATATCTCTTACCTTTTCGTGCTACACTCTTACACGACTGTCTGAGCCCGTAAGATAAAATCGCCATTCAATGGAAAACAATACGCGACTCCAATCCTCTATTCAACCTTGCAATCCATTGTTCACGGGAAAGCGGCGGTTCAGTAGCCCTAATTCGAGAAGAAAGTCGCCTCCTTAGTCTTCACTCACGTTTACATTTCTCACTTCATGCAGATGATTTTGAAGGGAAACTGCCGTGGCATTCGGATTCTCAAAGCACTCAAAACGAGAAAGCAGTCGTCTCTAGCTGTATTAGCCATTCCTCGTCCTCAACCAGGTCTTCGAGTAAACAGACAAGGCTCTTCGTACCTCTGAAATTAGGGCTCGGAATTTTTCAGATTTTTGTATTCGACTATTCGATTATTCGAGAAAAGTGCGAATGTCAAACAACATTGAGGTTCTCCTCATTTACCTACCAAATAAAATGCCAGCGCTACAAGGCAATAAATAAATACAATGTTGCCGTAACGTAATAGTCCCGAGTCCCAAGTCTGAATTTTGTTAGTCGTTTTTCCTTCTATCTTTATTTTTAAGCAATAGATAAAGAAGAAACATTTAAATTATATAAATAAATTTAAAATAAATATCAGAGTAT